AGAGCTCAACTGCTATATGTGGGTAGAGCACGCACGAAGCAGTCCGGAGACCGGGAAAAAGAGGATAATGGTTGACGAAGAAAAAGAGGTTGAAAGCCGTCGATGATGGAGCGGATAGAATTTAGCTGAGAATTCAGATATTCGTGGTGTATCAAGCCAAATTTGAAAATTTTCGTCGCACCATCAAAATTCGCCGCAATGCGTGCGGCGCCAACTGGTTACATATAGGGGGTCGTACCAAATCGCTCAGAAAGGGGGGGGTCGTAAAAAAATCTCCGAAAAGTAACAACGGTAGGGTTGACCCTTGCCCTCAACCCCTTGCTTGAGAAGCAAGACCGCTGCCAGCTGCGCTACCGGCAGCTCACGGCAGCTATTCCTCGCTTCCCTTTCGTGACTTTTATAATGGAGCTAACATGTGATTGCAGGCAAGACACTGAAAATCAAGGGCGGCAACAAAAACCCTCCGTAACTCCTTTCAGAGAGTTCAGCAGATAATGAAAGCAGATTTGAGCTCAGCGTCTCATAATGCGTACAGAAATGTGCACCTCATTTCATATGGCCGGACTGGCCTAATTACCCATCAAGACAGAGGGGATCCTTCAAAAGATGCCATGACTTACTACGCAATATTGACGAGGGTTTGAAAAAATTCTATTTAACCCTTTGACGACCGTGTGGCCCGCCGGTGGGCCACACTTTCACTCGGAGGCGACTCGTTTTTCGTGGTTTATTTGGCATTTTTTATGTTTCAAAACTACCCAATACATTATCGAATTCGCGGAATAATGCGCTAATTACTAATAATGAAATTGTTGGAGAGTTAATGATTACTGATGAAAAAATTTAAAAAGAAGTGAAGTGACGCACGCACAACGGCGGTCGTCAAAGGGTTAAAAACCCACGTTACGTTCTGAAGACTTCCCAGTTTTGGTTTTTGACGATGAAGACTTGTGGGATGCCTTGGAAGATTTTGGCACACATTCCTCAGCTGAGGGACCTCTCTTACGAAACTTTTCACCACGAGACGAAGGCTGTCTGAAACTTTTTCTAGAGCATCAGGAACTAAAAAATTACGAACTTAGATGCGCATCAAATCTTCAATATTGTAATTATACTCTCATGCCATGTTTTACCTCTCGAACGGTGAAGAACTGCCTCTCTCATTCCCAACACCTTCCATATCCTCTTCGTCTGCTCTGAACCATTAGGGCTCTCATGAGATACATAAAGCGTAATAAAATGTCCGACAGACCTTTTTGAAAGCTCGCCGTATTGACCTTGATCATCGCTGTTATCCTCACGTCGTTCTTTGCTACTCTGCGCCGGAGCCACATCACTGCCGCTACCAAAATCCCCACGCTTACTGCAAGAATAATCGTCGTCATCACTGTGCACATGTCGTGCGACATCATGATGCTTTCGTTTGCCAGGACTATCGTCTTCAGCCTCTCTTCTCTTTCTTTTGCGGTTGCTGTCATCGTCATGACGATGCTGATCTACCTGCACTGATTCACTACCCTCTCCCGAACCTCTCCTCCTCTCGTTATCGCCGCGGTGGTGCCGTCGATGTTCTTCGTCCCGTCGATGAAAATCATTGCGAGATTTTTTTGCGCTATCCTCATTCCTCGTGCTCTCTGAGCGGTGATGCTTCCTATCATCGTCGTGCCTATTGCGATTTCTGTCCCGATCACGCACTTCTGAATCGTTTCGTTGGTACTCACTTCTGTCCCGATGATGCTGACGTTCTCTTATCTCATCATTACGAGCTCTTGCCTCTATATCATGAATTCCGTTCAACAGACCCATCCTTTGAGGAGATGGATTGTGCTCCATAGGTTCCTCACCGTCAGAGCTACCGTCTTCTTCACCACCTCGTACGCCACTTTGCCGGGCCACTTCCTTCCATTTATCGATGATCCTTGATGCCTCGCGACCGTATTCTGGATCATCGCACAATCTGGAAAAAGAAATGCTTTTTGATTATAGAGGCAGCAAAATCATCCTCAAGTAAGGAACAAAATTTTCCGTCGTAGTACGTACACTCGTCAACGTATTCGAGAAGGTCGAACTCTACCCAGTTGAACTTTGGCTCGGGATTTCAGAGCCTGGGGCAGTAGGCAGCATTACTTGGTCGATGATCTCAACTTTGGGAATTTGTCCCCAACCCGAACGAGTTTCCATCCTCGGCCGGGGATGGGTCTCCACTCCTGGCCGAACAAATCCCTAAATTGGGGTCGTCCGCGTTTGACCTGCAGCAAGAGAACGATATAAGAATCGCGTAATAGAACCGCCATTTTTTAAAGTTCTGTGATGCGATGATTCGAAAGCATCAGTACCTTCTTTCCTCTGCGTATGAGCCGCCAGGGTTGATCCCCTACTAACTATAAAGCGCTTCGTCTGTCGTCTGTCGTCTGTCTGTATGTCTGTCACGAAATTCCCTAGCTCCTCGGGATCCGCCTGGAGGGACCGGGTCAAGTGTGGGATGGGTGGGCAAGGTCTCACGAAGTACAAAACACACATCAGCTAAGCGGAGCCCCGCCCACAGTGGGCGTGGCGTGCGTCGAAATGAACTGTACTGAGACCAAGATTTCAATTTCAGTGACAAAACGACCTCGAAACTGGGCCAAAAAGTGGGTAAAGGTGTGCATTGGTAAGTCACATCGAATTAGGGAGACCCACCCCCGGTGGGCGGGGCGTTCTCTAAAAAAGCAGTGCTTTATGAAAAATTTCATAACTCGGTTGGGAGAAAGCCTACAGAGCAGAAAACAATTTGGTGTAAGGGAGCAATGTCTAAGGTGTTTTTGCATACATGACGTGGGCGGAGGGCGATCGGAGGTATACACCGAGATGCTCGCCTCTTTGAAAAATGTTCCCGCGCGCGCTCGTTTAAACAAGTGTCGCACTGGAGCGAGCCTTCTCCCAGCTACATGGTGTTAGAGTCACTATGGAAATTCTGAAGGAATGCGATTAGTGGAGGTAGACGTGATTCACAATGAAAAGCGAACTTTGCTAAATGGATACTACTTGAGAGTTAATGTTTGTCACTATTGTTCGATTGTGTTTTTTGTTCGGAAATGTTCTGCACTGCAAAGCGGGGGAGGGGGTGGGGGGTGAAGGCTAGGAGACTCCTGGGAAAAAAAAAGACTGAGCTACGGAGGAGACGAACTTTTTAGGGAAAAGTTGCTGACGCACTTCGGAGCCCCTCTTCTCCTCTAGGGCGACGTAAGCAAACCAGCCCTTTTGGCGCTTCGGCTGGGACCGTATGCTGAATGTTGGGGAGGGGATGGAGTCCCGACGGTGGACGGACCACTTCAACTCGGTCCTTAGAACCGCCACAATTTGGTGCTTACCTCAGAACTAAGCCTTAAAGAGAGGACGGGTCCGTCCCCTCTCCAAGGCTTAGTCCTGGGGTGAGCAAACAGCCCTTCTGGCGGAGCTGCTGGACCAGCTGCACCACTTGCGTCAGTACTCTCCTATCGTACCAACCGAGTTGAAGTAAACCGTCGACCGTTGGGGACCCCATCCCCTCCCCAACATTCAGCATACGGTCCCAGCCGAAACGCCAAAAGGGCTGGTTTGCTTACTCTCTAGGGCTTAGTCCTTAAACTGAACGTTCCATAACTCTGACGCAGATTGTCGCGTGCTGCCATTCCCACCGACTGAGCCCCACTGAGGATGAGTACTACATATCTTATATTTTAGGGGAACTGCTGAGATTGCTCTGCCTTCAAGGGTGGCTAACCTTTTACAGCTAGGTCACTGTATTCAAAACGATTTGCGCACTTACTATATTGAGAGCACCTAACCGAAATACATGAATATTGGCGGATACTTCATCCGGTGAAATTTTACGGCAACTTCCTGATTGTTACCAATAGGCACTCACTAATATCCACCGGCTGATGCTCTGGTAAGTAGCATCCATTTATTTCCCCAATGCAGTTTACGTCAAAAAAATTATGTTGAAAGTTAACAACAACTGTTCCTATTTCCTCGCTTATGTTCGTGTCAAATCGATGCCATTACCTTTGCTGAGGTCGCTGACTGGAACACCCTTAATAACCACTGCTGTGGATGTTTCGAAGGATAATGGGCTTTGCTCACAACTTAACTGGAAGGAAGTACCCAAAAATCCAAGCAGTCGTAGCGAAAAACTCCCCGGTAAATTGCCCTGAGTTGCCTCCAATGTGTATTCAACGAGGAATCAATACAAAGTCAGTGCTACAATAGATAGGAAAAACGATGATTGATTGTTGTGGGTTCAAAAAGAGGTACAGTTGTGGTGGTGTCTAAACTCCCATACCTCGAGAACATTACGTTACTATCTAAAGACGCTTCCTACCAGCACTCTCGTGCGTACGACCACATTCCCTAGTTATCATTCCTTCCTCTTCTAGAGCAATATCCATACTCTTGCCTGCGGTGGTACCAGTACGAAGAACAAACTCAAAATCTGACAAAAAGAGCCGAAACTGCGGTGTCTCCAAGCTCTCCAGCTAATTGAAAGCTCGCTCCAGTGCTAGTTTCTTTGAACGTGCGCGCGCGGGAAATTTTTTTTCAAAGAGGCGAGCATCTCGGTGTATACCTCCGATCGGCGGAGGCCCGCCCAGAATGGGCGGGGCGCGCTCTGAAGTGTACAGCATTTTCTACAAGTCCTCATAATTCGGGCCGGGGAAGTCTTAAAGAGCCGGAAAAAGGTGGATAGAGGTGGGTGGAGGAGTGGAGGCCAGCTGTCATCGGTGGGCGGGGCTTGACCAAAAGTTTGCGACGAAAATTCATAACTCGGCTCCAAGAAGTCCCGGAGGCGGGAAAAAGGTGGATAGAGGTGGGTGGAGGAGTGGAGGCCAAATGTCATTGGTGGGCGGGGCATGACCAAAGTGGGCGGAGTTGCACGAAAATTCATAACTCGGTTCCAAGAAGTCCGGAGACCGGGAAAAAGGTGGATGGAGGTGGGTGAAGGAGTGGAGCTAGAATATCATTGGTGGGCGGAGCATGTCCAAAGTGGGCGGAGTTACCCACGAAAATTCATAACTTGGTTCCAAGAAGTCCTGGAGAACGGGAAAAAAGTGGATATAGGTCAGCAAAGAAAGAGAAGTTAACTGCTACGGTTGGGTGGAGCGTGCGCTAATGTGGGCGGAGTTTGCGCCGAAATTGTAATTCGGCTCCAAGAAGTCCCGGAGGCAGGGAAAAAGGTGGATGGAGGTGGGTGGAGGAGTGGAGCCCAGCTGTCACCGGTGGGCGGGGCTTGACCAAAGTGGGCGGAGTTTGCGACGAAAATTCATAACTCGGCTCCAAGAAGTCCTAGAGATAGGGAAAACGGGGTTAGAGGTTGGCGAGGGAAAAGAGATCAGCTGCTTCCAAGAGGTCCCAGAGACCGGTGAAAAAAGGGGTAGAGGTCGGCGAAAGGAAGGGGGCCAAATGCTATTGGTGGGCGGGCACGCACCGAAGTAGGCGGAGTTTGCCACGAGATTTATTGTCCGGAAGCAGTCCGAGAGACCGAGAAAAAGAGGATAATGGTTGACGAAGAAAAAGGTTGAAAGCCGTCGATGATGGAGCGGATAGAATTTAGCGGAGAATTCAGATATTCGTATTGTATCAAGCCAAATTTGAAAATTTTCGTCGCACCATCAAAATTCGCCGCAGATCTGTGTTGCGCGCGCAATGCGTGCGGCGCCAACTGGTCCTTAGTAAATCAGGAAAGATCATTGGGACAGTTGAAGTATGGTGCATATATATAAATGTATTACTTTCCTATCTGCTAAACTCTTCTCTGAACGGAATTATGAAGCAAAAAAGCGCAGCGGCAGTGATCCGGACTCAGAGGCAAGAGGAGGGTCGTAGGTTCGAATCCTTGCCGAGATTACTCTTTGCTGTTTAGCAACTTGACCAGAAAAAAAATCTTGACTTCATTGGTTGAACAGCGCATGCGAATAGTTGTAACCTGTATTAGGAACTTTGGAGCAGTTTCTAACAATCTTAGGCGAAATATTTATGACTCACATGGCGCCCGTAACGTAGGCGGACTAACGATTAACGTTTCGTTATCAGAGTCGAATTACCCCTCAGAGTGGAGTCAGAAAAGACAAATACAGTGCGTTTCAAAAGTATGTGCACACCCTCAAAATTCACGTTTGAAAGGAACCATGAGGTTTCGTGCTATGAAATCCTTCTCAATCGATTTCTCGTAGTCGATAACCTATCAATGGAAGCAAAGCAGATAATATCGCCTCACTTTCGAAAAAAATTTTGGATGAAATTTTTTTCTTTGTTTCAAAAGTATGTGCACACTTAACAAAAGACAAAAACATAGCTGAGATTAGAAATCAGTGGGGCCTCCAGAGTTTCTAATTAGCTCAAACATCCTGTCCGGCATAATCTGAACCACGTTTGGCATAGCTGTTTCGTCGCTGTCGGCCCAAATAGCCTCTACCGCCGCCTTCAGTTCATCCGCGGTATTATTAGCAAAATCCACCCGGCCCGTCAAGATCGAACTCTTTCCATGAGTTAAGATTACCTGAGGAGAGAAAGTCCATAAAAAGTTGCTTGTTTTGAAAATAGGAAATTCTCGAAAAACCGTGTCTTCGCCCGGTGTCCTATCCTATGTTGCCATGTCTGTACGAGCAGACTCCAATGTGGCTAACTTGTGCTGGGCCTTGAAGTGAGTAGCCTTTCTCAGCGTCTGTCGAGTGGTGTATTCATTTGAGCGGATGAGGGGCTTAGTGGTCATTTTCGAGGCTGGAATAAAAATCTGAGCTCGGACTGTCAATGAAGAATCCGACAGGATGTGGGCTACTCTTTTGTTGTTCTGAGCAGTCAAGGATCGTGGATGGAGCGGAGTGTGTGCTGAGTATAATTATCAGGGTGCCAGATAAATCTTCGAATGCATTAAGGAGAACGACCAAGTTATCGTGCGATTTCTAGATTGGAACGTTCATTATCATGCAGAACCTTGATCTGAGCTTGCTCAT